GCCGGGGTGTGCTTGGGTCACCACTCCATTTTGTTACACCTGGGTCCCAACCAGGCGGCAGCCTTGCGGCACGCGACTCCGTTTCCCTGTCTTATTCGAAAGATCACTGGAAGGGCCTCGAACCGATGCCCAGAATGGCAAGGAGAGATAAGATTTGTCGTGTGATTTTAGAGGGGGTAATGTGCGTGACTTGATCATGTTTTAGAAAGGGAGGCTGCGTTTCACGTGATTCGGATATCGGAAGTGGTAGAACCCGGAAAGTGTCTAGAGTGTTACTTTCTGGGGGGTGGGGGGCTCGAACTCGCGAGTGCGAAAATAAATATTTTCTGTATGGAACGAGGTACAATCGAGCAAGCAGAGGTAACCACTACACCATCTGCCCCCCGGCGTCCTTCTTATCACCACTTGACCCACTTCCCTTTGATTGATTTTGATTGCCTCGACCCGAACCACCTTGGTTCGAGGAGGACTTACTGCCTAGTCCTTGGGTGACATCATATCTGTAGTTGGCGTCGATCCTAAGGACTTGTGCCTTCCATTGGGCGTAGGTTGTGGGGCGCTCGTTGTCCCCATGCATAACCGTCTTCCGCACCGTCGGCCTTATTGCTGCTTCGACGGTCTCGAACATCTGCTTCTCGTCTCCGAATTCCTCGCATTTGTGAGCTAGCCGCTCAAACTTCATGAAGAATTCTACCGCGGACTTGAATTCAGACTGCCGTACTCTCTTCCACTCCGCCTTCCATATCGTTAATTCCGCTACTTCTCGGAATTGCACTGTCAGGTCATGCGAAAATTCGTCCCAGGTAGGAAACCGCCAGTGACCCTGCGGGGTCCGGTACCTATAGTATTGGTCCACCCACCACTGTTGCGCTTCCCCTCGTAAGTACCCCTGGGCGAACGTGATTCGATAAGGGTTCTGCCCTTAATCGTTCATCGTATAGTACTGGGGGAATACCTGAAAGTAGACCTCGCAGTGGTGTAAGAACCGAGTGATGTCCGAAGACACCCCAAAGAAGTACTCGGGTTGAGTGATCAACTTTGGTTTGACATCGTTCCAGGGGTTGTTTGCGGCGCCAGGGGCCAAGTTCCACGGGGGAATGGGATCCGGGGGCGGAGGCGCACTGGGTGGCACTGGTGGGTTAGGCGGTCGCGACAATGATCGAAGATGTGGATTGTCGCCCGGCGGGGGATATCCTTCCGGGTATTTTGGCGGCAGCGGCGGTGGCAACGGTGGTTTTGGCACCGTGGATTCTTTTCCCTTCCTGGACGTTCCTGCGCCAGGGTCTTCCCAGGCATCATCAGGGTCCTCAGGTCCTGCGCCTGCCCAGAACTCCTCAGTTTCCAGCGGGTTGGGCATCGGTTGAGGGCGTCTATACGCCCCACACCCCGGCTTTATGGCTTCGGGGTCGGGGTGTACTTGGTTCCACACTATGGCTGCTCGGTGCCATGTTTCGACTTCCAGAATGTTTTTCATGAGGTAAACGTCCCCCATGCGCTTCACATAACGGTAATCTTCCCCAGCCTCCGTTAGGAGCCACTGGGAGTCCCGCTCCATGTCTTCCATCATAATTTCGTAGAGTCCGTGCCATGGTAAAATTTTAAAGATTGTTGGAACTGGGGCCGCCGGGTCCATCAGGACCGTCCGGACCGCTCTCATCACCTCGACCTCGAGGGAACTGTTTGGCGGACGACTCGGCATCCTTGGCCTTCTCCCTCTCTCTGGCGAGTCGGTCGATCTCCTGGTTTCGCTTCCAACGCCCAATGTTGGAGTCGGGGTCAGTGATCTCTGACTCATAGGCTTGCCAGGCCCTTCTTCGGGCCTCGAGGTCGGTGCCGGCTTGCTCGACCATTCCAGAGTATCGGAGGGCGGCGGCTCGTTGTCAGTTTTCGACCTCGGCACAGGTGGCATCAGGTTCAAGGGGGAGGTCATAGAATCCATCAGGCCCGAGGAGGGTGGCGATCTCTGCGCGGCGAGTGCGTAGGTCTGCCGCTCTTCCTCTGTCCATTCTGGCCTCGATTTCTGCGGTGACCCAGGCATTTCATGGGGAACTCGAGCGACTTGACGAGGGTGGTATAGAGTAGCGTCCATGGACGCTGGTTGCTAGGGACGGGGTCGGCGAATGCTCGACCTGCGACTGACGGCGTAAAAGGGGGGACGGGGGCGAGGTCTCCGGCGCCGGCAATCATTCCAAGCTCCTCCGAGCTGTAGTTAGGGAACTCTGCCCAGAGCTGCTGATCCGTCAGTTCAGCCCTGGTGATGGGAGGAGTGGGCGCGTCGTCCTCTTTGCGGACGGGGACAAGGAGGCTCCGGGGGGTCGGGACTCGGGCCACAGGAGTTTCTTCCCTGGGGTCGGCGTAGACCCAACTGGTGCCGGGATGCCAACCGACGGGAGGCCCTCTGTTCGCTGGCCAAGGAAGAACGGGTCTTGTTCCATCTGCACCGGCGGTAGACGCGGCGGAGGCCCCAAGCCCAAGCTCTCCGGAATCTTCGTCGTAGTCATCTTTTTGCCGCCCCATATACCTCCTTCGCTCGCTTCCATAGTCGATGTCTGTCCACCTTGTCTGAGACCTTCCGCTCCAGTTGTCTCCGGTATAGGTTGCATCTTCCTCCTTGTTCGGGTAGAGGTCACCGAGGAGGTCTTCGAGTCTGATTCTTTCGAGCTCGGTGAGCTCATCCCCTTCGAACTCGGTGTCAGCGCTTTCTTCGCCCTCGACCAGATCCCTGGTGCCTTGTCCTCTGCCTCTGTGGGTACTTGACTCGCCTTCGACTGGAGACTGGTCGAAGAGGCCTGGTAAGGGCGAGTCTCCTCGGCCGAGGAATACGCCCCTGGTATCTGTGATGTCGACTGAGTCGACTGACTCGTTGGTAGTGCTTCTGTAGGAGTCAGTGCTCGACTCTGAGGATCGCGAGCTGGGTCGCGATGATCCATAGAGGGACTCTCCATATAGGGATTCCTCCGGCGGAATGGGTGAGGCAGGACGGGGTATGGTTTGTTGAGATGCTGCGGGGATATCGATCACCTGTGGAGGATATGCGGGTGCGCTGGGTACGTAATGGAAGGGAAGTTGAGGTCGAACCCTTCTCTGTTGATGGCAACAGCGGAGTAAATGGTACAAGGAGATGGATAAGAAAAAGAGTATAAAAGTCGCGAAGATGGCGGGAATGGCGTCGGACCAGGGCATCCGTCCGTACGTCTATTCTTTTTAGAGTTCGACGACTCCTCTTAACCATGCAACGATAGGTGGTTTACCAGAAGTTGAATGGCGAGGGTGGCGAGTGTAATGAGAAGAGTGATGATCAAGTTAAGATCGGCTTCGTAATCGAAATCGGTTATTAACAAGACCTCGTCAGTTTCGGTCGTGCTTGTCAATACCAGCAATACGACTGCCAGTAATGAAGCGGTTTGGAAAAGGGAGGTGAAGAGATTCAGTTTTGCGTGGGGTATGGGCGATAGAATTCAATGTACAGCCCTACAAGGTAGGCCGCAAGTAGTGGGGCCGGGATGTAGAGTCGACACAGAACGATAGTGATGGCTACCCGGATTAGCACCGAGGCTATCGGGTCTAGGGCCAAAGGTGGCAGTACCCAAAGGGCAACTGCAGCGATTATAAGAATTAGAAGGATGTTGGGCAACGGTGAGTTGTTGGGCAATGTAGGACGAGCTTCGGCTAAATGTTAGCCACTAACTCTAATCGACTTAGATCGTACTAGGATCTTCACTTGCACTTCGGTGAAAGATACTCTAGCAAGTCAAAGGCGATGAAAGTCGATGGTACAGATAGTCACGAAGGACGGAGTTCGATGTTAGGTAGATTAAACCTTAGCCGAAGCTGGGGTTTAGTCCAGCTGAGGCTCTACTTAAATACACATTGGTAAACTAATAATAGTACTGTGGGAACACATCCATTGTGATCGCATATGAGTAATAAGGCTGAGTAAAACGAAGAAAAATGAATAAACCGTAACAGCGGGTTCAATTTCGGCTTTAACAGGAGTTAAGGAATTTTGCCGACGAAGCAGAATTTGATCTCGGATGATCGTGCCGAAGGGCGGCTTGGTCAGCAGCACAGCGGACGCTGCCAGTGCAGCGGGTTGACTGCAATCATGATGGACTGTATACCTTCCAGGCATCCAGCATGTTGCGACAATCGCCAGTATGTATGCTCAGTGCTTCATTCAAATCCTCCGTACACTGGAACTCTTGGGAAACTTATCATCGGTGAGTGCGCGAATACAATCCTCGGCACCCAGCTCTGATGTTAGGGCGACCAAGCCTTCTATAAAGATCCAGATGCTGTACAACACACGTCAGGGAATATGGTATTTATGGATGATGTGACTCTGCGGATGTTGGATACTTATGTGGAATAGGTCAACGGCTGTCCTCGAACCCCGTCGATGGTCATTATATGTCCCCAGTGAGCAGTTTTCCCCCTTCACATTCAATAATATCCTGACTTGATCTAGATTGATAAATGTGGGAGTAACTGCCAACGAAAACCTCACCGTTGACCCTTATGGACGTTCACTTGGTTGGGGAAGCGAACTGTCCCAGACATAGAGGAATGAATTTCGGTTGGTTCAATTCTTACGTAGCTCGCATAGACTGATGCGAAGATACTTTTGTACAGCAAGTGGTTTGGTGACTCTGCTGGGAAATCTCAACGGACCGGACCCGAGACATCATATTAAACGGGAAAAAGCGCATCCTCGGAAGCACTAGAAAAATATGAATGTGGTCATTTTCCGTTGGAACCGCCATCCCCACCCCATTATGTGAGGAAGCCTAAAAACGGAAATATCCTACCAGCGGTCAATGTTTTCCAGGGTCGTTTAAGGAATCTTTCCTAGCTCGATGGCTACTCTGGTGTGTCGACGTTACCTCAATAGACTGACTAGAAACCGGGAAACTCCACATTCACTAAATAACTGTCGTTGATACACCTTGAAGGTGCCGAAACAGTAGCTTCTAGCTCCTCCGTAGACGCAGCATTCTTATATGAAGGTGGATATTGAGGACAATCTCCTTCTGGATGGCGGTGACGCAAGCCATAATCGTACCGAGAGTCATTACACCGGAGTGTTCATCTGTGGCCCTCTCCTTGTCGCTACCCTACGCGATTGGGGGTATTGTGTGGCTAAAGTCCATGGCTTGCAAGCTGCACGCCAACTCACTCTGTCTTTCTGTCTTTCCTGTAAGCAGGTCTGTTTCGATGGAAAGCTTATCAGATTAACCACTTTATCAGCGTGTTGAGAGATAGTGGTATGTTCGCTGTCATCGTGTTTGTCATTGTTGCTCATGTCTTGCTATCTGGCTTGTATACCGACCGGCATGGCGACGTCCGTGGTTGGAACTCTTTGCACCCATCCATGTCATTCGGTGGAGGTATTGATCGAGGACGAATGCAAAAGTAATGTGCCTATGTTAGAATCGTCTCCCTTGGCATACATATAAACCATACAGTGATAGGCTAAGTGGGAGAGTGGGTATTCATAGGCTGCAAATATAGTAAGCTCCTACTGCTCCTACAATATCGAGTATTGAAAATTAAGTTCTATGATTGGTCATACGCACATATTTTGGCTTCATCGGCGACGAATCAACCAATCTTTTCTAGGCCTAACACTCTGAAATAACTCCGTCGCTCATCTGAAAACAGGAAATCCGGATGACGTCCAACTGCTCAGACTATCGCGATCGGGAGGTACGAAGGAGCTTATTCATCTGACAAGCCTGTTTCAAGGTGCCTACGCTGTACACCAAGATCTACATCACCTTTCTGAAGGCGTCAAGTCCCCATTCCAGTCGGTACATCTAATGTCAAATACCATGGTGTAAGCATCTTATCCGTACAAACCGCTACATCCATCTCACTACTCTTTCCAGCAGCCTAACCCCAAAGACACGAGCAGAAATGCGTCCTCAATTCCAAGCCTTCTGCCGTGCCATGCACCTCGAACCCACCTCGTCTACTATCCTCGATGGCCCCGCAGGTCCTGTCGAGATGAGGCCTGCCGTACTATCGAAAGCAAAGCCGTCGGTCCAAGCAACAGCATCTTCTGCAGATGCGCGCCCCCAGTAACCGATACCATGACATAGTAGCGTTCCAGCACCTTTGCTCAAGCCCTCAAGCAAAAGGGAGAATGGTGTCTGTAATCTCCTTATATGTGTCACCGCTCAATTAATGATAGCAATCCTGGATATTCTCTCCCCTCTTTTCACACAGGACTCAGATATGCGGGCCGTCGCTTATGAAGCATACCGTAGTCAGACAGATGATAAAGAAAATTTGCTTGCTCAAACGAATGCAGCGACCCGTGTAGCCTCTTCTAGACAGACAGATGAACACCCATTGAGAGGGACCGGGCATGTCATCGGATCGATCAGAAGGGGGTGATCGGGTCGTATGCCGTGTCGTTTAGATCCTTTTTGTAAGATATTTCGCAAAAGACTGCCCGATAAAGAGTTGTATTATAGATAAGGGATACAAAAAGTGATACGTCGAGACAGTCGTCACATCGGATATTTTTGACCTTCGGGGAATGTAATCGGAACTAGGCCTAATATACAAATCTAATTGTCCACAAACGCTGGAAGACGCATTTCACGCTGAGGACGCAAGAGTCGCTTCTCGACGTCCGTAAGGAGCTGGTACCAATCGCGGTCGTAGAAATTTATAGGCAGTCCTCGAATGGGTGCTCTTTTCGACGCTGTAGCCCTTCTATGCCTCATCCATTCATGTGGCCTATTTCCTGGATGGGCATTACCGTAGGCATTCTTCCAGTCGTACAATTTGTTGGTGATGTCGAGGAGTTGTGTTAACTTGTCGCTATGCCAAGACCTCCGCTTAACCATACACAGTCCACCCTCTCCATCGCTTTTGTCTGAGCTGATCCCTTCTCTCCCGAGAAGGTTGAGCATCGTATACACAGACTTCCACCTCGCATCGACTCTTCCACCACCAAGGTCCATATTGTTGCCTGCGATTTCCAAGCGAATATCTCTGAGCTGCACGTTGGAGATCGTCTATCAGCACGTAGCTGATGGACAAAAGAACACGGGGAGACTAACCGTAAGACGACATTGCGTTGGTCTGGAGATATCACGACGGTGCTTGAGTGAGGCATTGAAGCGTTCCAGAGCTTGAGCTGAGGTCTCATTTCTTAAGGGAGCTGCCTTGTTTACATACCCACGAAGGTACTTGAGTTTGTTTTCAAAAGCGACAAGGATGTCATTCTTTGAAAACTCGTAATTTCCAGGGTTCTCGGCGTCCTTACAAAATTGAACGTAGAAAGCCTCTCCCAGATCAAGGTTCCAACGGGAGCCTAGAGAACCCCAGTCAGGCCGCATGGGGTTGGCAAGTGGTGTAGGCCCCCCAGAATCATATTCTTCCACTTCCTCTGGGGACGCGCCGATTCCATTGAACACGACATCGTATCCGTTTTCAATGCCAAGGTATTCCCAGCAGAGACGGCGAACCTCTCCCTGTACGAAAGTATCATTGACATCAGTCGATGCCAGCCACATAAGCTTTCAACCTACTAAAATCCATTTCTCCCTTGGCGAGTGTATCTTGGATGAGATAGGGTCCTTGAAGGGTCCAGCTCGCTTCTTTTCTACCTTCCTAACCGGACTAGAGTTACTAGACAACTGGGGCTCTGAGGGCACTTGCCGTTCCAGTATACGATTCACGTTTGACATCCATCGCACAAATTCAGGTGGGAAGTCTTTCATCGCGGACTGTTCAGGTGGTGGTGGGGGTTCATCCGAATCTGCGTCGGAAGCATTTGGACGTGATCCCTCAGAGTTTGCTGATCTCCCATGCCCATGATATCTCTCCTTTCCCTTAGCGGTAACATCATGCTCGCGTTTGCCTGGGATGCGAGGGGGTGCTGCAGGAGCATCACTGGCGTGTCTTCCGAATCTGGGCCAAGGGTCGCGAGGAGATGATGGGCTCGAACTAGCAAAGTTTGGCAGCGGGGAATTGGGCCATGAACTCTTGAGGGACTTGGAATGGAATCCAGCCCTACCTGCTTTACATCTCTTGAATTGTAAAGGCGGGGCGATAGTTTCTCGACCCTAAGACATATTAGTTCGGGTTTGATATAAACAGCTAGTGCGTACAATTTTATCATCTGGAACTGAGACCTGCTTCTTAGCAATATGTGGTCGGATGCTGCCCTGCAAAGCGTGAATACAGGCTGTGAAAGCAACACACGTCTTACTATTGATGCCTTGTCACCGGTAAAAGTGGTCTGATCATCGCTGGTTGTGGACAGGGTTGCCTGCAAAATCATTAACAACGGACAATCGACTAGCATGAGATACGTATGGGTACTGGTGCGCCATGATTAGACTTGTTGGCACCGATAGCTACATCTTTATCTGAATACCTGCCCCAGCCTGACATGGATTGGCTCCCCCTTCCCTCGTGGTCTTTAGACCCGTCCACGAGACGCCGAGGGGTAGCTGAAGTTCCAACTCTTGAAGCCTTGTGGAGGTGAGACACATTACTTTCGGTGCTTTCGAATTCCTCAAAGGCCTTGCGATATGCATCGTCCTCATATATAGGAGTAGAGTTTTGGCCATTCTTGAGTGCCAAGAGTTTCTCCAGTATCAAATTCGTCTCCTTGTGTATTGCAGACTGCCTGTCGGAAATAAAGATATGACGCTGTTCGTCAAACTGCTTCTGATTGGCAGTAGCATCTTCGACATTTTCTTCAAGAATGGCTTCAGGGAGAGCTGGGGGGCATGTATCGTTGGTTGCAATACCTGTCACTCGAAGGTTGTAGCTGGAACAATCGGTGCCTCGTAATCTTTGTTTCCTGTCCTCCGGTTGTTGATGTTGCCTGGAGTCTCCATGAACCTTCCCGGCGAGATGTGTAGCTGACATGGCACGCAAATTGACATGTTTTAACTGGTTAGAGAATTCATTGATGGAAACGGAGTCATCCGGTACAGTACGGTTTACCAGTAACAGCTCGGGTGTTTCATGCTTGCGATGTAGACCGATATCTGCCGTATGAGTGTCGAGCTATACAAAGGTCAATCAGAAATTCTGCTAACAATGTGCATGGCATACATCATCAAGGGCTCGATTTGTTTGGTAAGAGGACTGCTTTACGACTCGAGCCTTTCCACTGAGCTAAAAGGGGAAGTGAGTCAATGGATATCCTTTGAGAAATGAAGTCACTCGACGAACTTGTACAGGCTAAATATTAACGTCAATGAAAAGTAATATATCAGAAAAGAACGGAAAGCATACAGTGAGAGTGGGTAAGGGCTGGGGACGAAAAGAAAAACCGCGTCTAGGCTGGCTCGTCCCCGAAGAAGAGACTGTAGATATGCCATCGGACATCGCTTGTGATGGGACCGGAACGGTGGAGGAGGATGGTGAATGCTGGATAGAGAAAAGTAAGTGAGAGAGACATGGGAAGAAGAATGTAGCTACCCGTTTGTTGTCGACGTCCGTGACCGCTGGGCTTTCGGATGTAGTTGTATCCAACATCAAGGAATCCGCCATCACGGTTTGCAGGCAGGAGGATGAAGAGATGGATAGTGCAAGGAGTAGATGGTCAAAACGGATTCGGAAGAGTCCGACCAGATTCCTTTGTTGCGTTACGCGCCTTTGTTCCCATCTGTGACAGACACGCTGACAGTGCGTCGAGCATCTTGAGCACGATACACCACCATTAGAGCCTGCTGCATGATTCATCACTGCCCAATAGCAACGGCAGCAAAGAAGACGCACCATAAAGTCACCATTCACGACACACTCCCTTCCTTTGAAGTATTCTGATGCCATCCAGACGACAACGGCCATTTGTTGTGATGAGAAAGGTAAGGCGATTTGGGATACTACACTCAACCTCTTTTGCTAATGATCTGCCTTGCACCCAGACTGTCACTCGGCCCATTCTCGCACGCATATATTCCGTCCAGCAAGGTCGTCGTTGGGTCAAAATACCGACCTTGGATAATGGAAATGGGCAGGATCCTATGTGCACCCACGCACTTGACGGCCCTTGGACCCAACCCCACAAACACAACTGCGAACTGCAGATTATCCACGGAAGACGAAGCGACACATTTAGAATCTTCTGTAAGAATCACATATTCCTGAGGGAGAACGACACTGTCAAGGCCATCGTTGGTGAAGAGTATCGTTGGTGTGGATCAATTGTCGTCATGAGAGCAGGCAAAGGCGAGAAGAAATGGGTCGTGAATATGCGGGGATGTCGGGACACAGTACTGGCAGACTATGCACTGGATCAGTAAGTTGAATATTCGCCATTATATACACTAAAATATGCTCACCAAACTTTCCAGATTCATCAAGCACGTCCAGCAGAGAAAACGGTTCTCCTTCCCCAAGCACCTAGTATTCCGTATGCCCTAGTCGATTTTCCACCTTGTAGAGCTAGAGAGAAAGAGGTTGCCATGCGTATTCAGGTAGAAATATCGTTGACTGCGCCAAATAATGGCAATGAGAGAGTGAGACTTGAGAGCGATGCACTGACCAAGGACAATGATCATGAAGGTCGCTGAGTCGCTCACTGCATGCGTGACTGGGCTGCTGACAAAGCCGATGTTCGGCCTGAACCCTGTCATGATCATTCATCTGTCTTTCCCTGATTTTGAAGGCTGAACGTGAACGTTGGATTATAGAGATTACGTTGGGTCTGATTAAATTTCTCAGGTTTAAAAAGAATGTTACTCTACTTTACAATAGCTTGATAATACGTGACATTGATTATAATAATATTACGTGGTTCTCAACGCGGACTGGAGGCTTAACCAAGAAGCAATCCATCGCGTACTGCACCCAGCTCAGCACCCAATCCAACACCTTCACAGTCGTCAGCTGAAACATCCCAGAAAACTCAATGAATACCTATGTCATACAAAGCCGGAAGATGCGACCACGATGCCCAGATAATGAAGGCAAAAATAAGGAACTGAATCTTGTCTTTGGCGTCGGCCAGATCACGTTCTGTCTTGCTCAGTTGTTTCACCTCCAAAGGTCTCAGCTCACGTAAAATATTTGAACCATCAATTTCAAACGCTTACTGGCTTCTCCCACAAGACGACGCTCCCGTTTCTTCCAGACGATCCGGTGGCAACCATATGCCGATCTGATACCGTGGCAGCCTGTTTCGCGGTTTGTGAGTGCGTTCAAGTATGTCACTGCTTTCCGCTCACATCCAATACCTGCAAATAATCACGATCTGAAACAAATGAGCAGCAGGTAGTACCAGGATCCTGACCAAAAACTCACCTTTGCCATGATACATAATCTGCAATGGCTTCTTGCCTCCGTTCAAACACGAAAATACATATGCAGCCCCATGGTCGCTTCCACAAACCACGACTTGACCGTCTTCTGCAAAAACAGCATCTTTGATGATGCTGCGCTCCCGAGTCATCGGAACAGGGAATGTCTGGCTAGTCGAAGAATGAGGAAATGCGTAGAGATCAAATCCGCTCGTCAGATTGTCAACGAGCAAATGGTGGCCTTTGTAGAGAGCGGCGCTTCCACTTTCGAGTCAGTTAGCATTGTCTTACTAGTCCTTACGAAGGTAGGTGATGCCTACATGGGTGATTTAAGGGTTCATGACCATTTTATATTCGGTTTCCCATCTTCAGTCATGATACATAACCTAAAACTGATGGTATATGAATGAGGATAGCAAGGAATCTGGGAGAACATTAAACCTACATTTCCTTTGATTCCAAGCAGAAGACAATGAGCTGTCTGCCTTCGTCAACGAAACGCAATGACCTCGGAATGGTGTTCTTCAATTTAGTTGTCCATATGACGTTGAGAGTGCAAGCTAACTGAGGTCAATAGGACGACGCTGAGAGACGGGTGCATGCCTACACGTCCAATCTAAATTGCACAGCTTGATTTCACCATGTTGGCTAGAAACCACGAGCTGCGTATCCCGTGGATCATAAGAAAGCGCTTCCACACTGTCAGAAGAGGGAAAGGGGGATAGACGTAATGCTTCCTGAAATTTGCGCTGCTGCCGTTAAACGAAGCTCGTTGCGAGCTAAAAGAAGAGGACACACGCTGTTCTTGGCCCTGTTATAAATAGCCACTATTCCCCTGCCGGTCCCAAAGGAGAGTGCCAGAGATCTGCTGGACCGGTTTAAAGAGGGCAACCAAGTAATACTGCTTATCTGCCCCCAGCTCTCGCCGGGGTTTTGAATAAGATGTACTCTCTTTCCGGTGTGTGTATCGTAAATGTGAATTGACTCCGCGTCGTCTGGATCGCGAGGCCGCGATCAGTAAGCAATCTGAAAGAGAAAGAGGTGGGCATACCTCCACTCGCCAATAACTCTCCATCCACCGAAAAAGACAAACAGTTTACTGAAGCAGAGGACCCAGTGAGTCACGTAACGATATGATAGCGCTGGAAAAGGTACATTAAATCCGACCCAACAAACTACTTGGACATGCGAGCTTACCTCTTCTGGCGGCGAGAGCCAGCTTTGCAGGAAATCGTGTAGATGGACAAGTAGAGACGCCATTGAATGCACTGAGGGCACTTGAGAAGAGACGAAGATGATGGTGTCTTTCAACTGCGCACGCGCAGGGTACGTCTACGTGCCTTGATATTGCTTCCTTTGTTTTGCCAAATAGGGTATTATGGTCACCGGTAAGATACCGAGACGTGCGAAGAAACATCTCCATCGTGATGAATATGTTTGTGTGCATTAACGGGCTACTGAATGAATATAATTCTTGAATCACGAAGGATGATGACTGTTAAGATTGATCATACCATAATATGCACTCTCATAGACCTCAGTGCCGAATATCACCAAGCCTTGATGCGTCACGCTCCAAGCGTGCACAAAATTCGGTCTTCCCTGATACAAAGTCTTCGCTGAACGGCAAAGGATGGGGACGATGAGCACTACAACAGCAATGAAGGGGGAAGTCGATAAATGACAAGCCCATCCAAACGCAAATGACTACGGACGACAAATTGAGGATAATTTATTGTCATGATGAGATTGGATACACACCTGGCAGCGGCCTCGCAGCACTGGCAGATCTTCTTTCCTTGGAGGCGGAGGCCACAGTTTCGGTTGTACATCGAGGTCCAACTCTGTGCGGTTCTTATCCCGTTCCTCATCCTATTGCACGGTGCCCTTATCGTAGCCTACCGAGAGCTAGCCTATGGAAAATCATAGATGAAATCTGCGAGAACATCAGAAGTGTCGATTTTCTATGGAAGACATGGGACCATACCAGTGTCCTCAGCCTTAGCATCCTGCCTCTCTTCTGAACCCTCTTCATCTTGATTCGCCTCATCATCAAGGAATCATCGGATTTTCTGTATTTGTTTGATGAGCTTGGTCAGGTCCAAGACGAGTTCCATGGCGACTTGCTTGTGGGTAGGGTGGTTGCAGATTTAGATGGGTCGGGTCCCCTCACTGCATTGGCTTTACGAAAAGGATTTTTGGGTAATATAGCGAGGACAGGGAGGTACCAAAGCACGCACTGTGGTCCGTGGGTGCAAGTGACGAGTGTACCAATCGGAGGAATCGGATGAGTCGCATACAGATCATTTTCCCATGTGTTCTAGCTGTCAGCCATCAAACGGACTTCGCGTGACACAGGTTAGATCTCCTTGTGTTTTATTATTACGCTCTTGGAAATGCATCTACAGCGTGTATGTACAGTATGTGACGACGTGCTGAATAATTCAATAATGTAGGTGTGAACATCTTTCCGTTCATACTCTTTGCGCTCATAAAAACATCTAGCTCTGTAAGAACGCGTCAAGCGTGTTTACGATGCAACCATTGTCAGGTTCGCTCAGAATTGCGCGCGTATATCATACTCAGTATACCCATATATTGAATGAAATCAGATATCGTGGAACATTGATACAACACGATTATATGTAACTGAATGAGATAATTTAAACTCGAATGCCTTCATTCAAATCGCTGATTCGGAAAAAGATCAGCCATGCTAATAAAAGCAAAGGCAGCAACTTGATAAACTTACAATAATCCGGTTGCCTCAATGCTATTTACCAGCCAGAGTACCACCAGATGGCAGATATGGTACATGACTGTCACGATGAGCTGAAAGAGATGGAGAGGAAGGTGCGTAATGGGGTAGCCATTCCTGCGGTAAAAGTGAGAATACATGAAGAAGGAGAAGTACAGGTCAGACGTACGAGACAGAAACTACCATGACGGCGACAATTAAGAGGAAGAAGAGACCAATGAAAGGGTGGGAACCCTTCCGTACATCGAATTCGACAGATGTGACATATGGAAGCAAGTTGGGCAAGTATTTGAGGGGAATGTAGACTATGGTGCCCTCGTGCCCTCTGAGTCCTTTAGTCTTATAGGAAGATTGAAGGATTTTATCAAATGTCAACTCTAGGATGGCGATATTGTCCTGAGAGAACTGATTAAGCACACGATACACACAACCCAAGCTGCAAGATAAACTCACAGCGTCTCTAAAGATGAACTTTGGAACGGCAACCCTTTGACCTCCCCGACAAATGATGACAGGACTAAAGTCCCTCGTAGAAAGAGTCAAAGAGGTGATGGTTGACGAAGCGGTCGTGGTGGTAGGTGTAGCGTGTAAAAGTGAGCGGATGAATATGAGGTATTGAATGGATGAGGTCGACATGGTCAAGGCAGGGAGCGAGTGGATGGATGTAGTGGGCTCGACAAAGGAGGAACGCGTTGGTACAATGCAGCTCGGAGCTGGCCGAGGTTGGAACGGAACAAAGGGAATCGACCGATATGGTGGGGGGGAAGTGACATGGTGAGTGTCTTGATATATAATCTGGACGTAAAAAATGTATTTATATGGTCATTCAAACATGAAGTTCAGGACAGCTAGCAAGAGGACAGACGGGCTCAACACGGTGGTTGAACAAGATTTAGATTGGCATCCAAGTCGGATTCATGATCGAAACGGGATGATCGGCCCGTATGCCGCGTCGCGTGGATGATCGAACTTCCCGGTGGTTGCTTCCCCACCCTACATCCACTACAAAGACTTGCTTTATGTCCTGATACAATAATGGCCATGGTATCCTCTGATAAGTACTCAACAAAGCAGTGGATGATCCCAATGTGCTCATTGTTAAGGCGGTTGCTTGTTTTTAAGGTGAGTGACGACCAGACATTCGCCCAGTCACTGCCCATACCCTCTCTCCCTCACAGCCGCCATGCTCCGACACCTTCCGCTCATAACTCGTCGGATAGAATTCACACCTCTTGCACGTACTCCTCTCCCTTCGATAACCGCACGCCGGGAATTTGCTATCGCTCGGGAGCACAGTTCGTCACCTCCTCCTGTCGACCCTGGCTTGCCACTGTCGGACGTCTCGGACGCTAGCGACGTCTCGATGCAATCAGACGATGATAACCTTTCAGGAAACATACTAGAGGAGGACAGCATTGATGATGAAGATGTCAAGATTATACCGAAACCTCCTGGAGAACCTGGCCGCCCGAAATCCGGCGGCTACAACCTCGAACAGACCCTCTCTTGGCCAGATGCCATTTATCAACAAGTTGTCGTATGTCTCTCCTGCTGAGGCTTCTCTCCCGGGCTTACCTATCTCTTCCAGAATCACGTCCATCGTGAAGCTCATCATAGACTTGAAACCAAGAAGAGCTTCAAGAACCAAAGCGTCAAACAAATCCAGGCTATTTGTGATGATGTGAGTCTTCACTGGTTGTCGTTAACTGCCGACCGCTCACTTGACCTTAATGTCGTAGGCTGTGAACGAACATAGCATCCTTCGAGTCTATGAGAATGCATGGCCTGTCCGTGATATGCCGAAGCTCCGGTTGAAGTACACGTCTGAGAAAGTGCGTCGCCAGAGAGGCAGGAAGATGCAGCAAAATTTAGCTCGGGTACATAACTCTTCTTTATACATCTGACAACGACTTGCTGATTGTACATCTCTTTTGTTTAGATCGTACGTGATGGTTCCCCAGGTATCGATTTATGACCGTATATCTGCTTGACGATCTGAAAGTGCACCATTCTGTAGCCTTATTCTTATGTCAAACTGTAGCTTATAATAATTCATCTACACCTAGTTACTCCAGTGCGTAATAAATATCATCCACAGATGTAAAATTTCACAACCATAATTCTGGCTAACGACGGGCATAAGGACTAAATGTTACTTTCCTTCATTCCATGGTGTCGCTTTCATGTTGTAAATAAAGCACCTACGCACCATGTTAGCACACTATGAGGTGTACAGAAGAATTCCTGTTAGAATATGAGTACACAAAATATTCTCAATGCTAGAAGCGACGTTACCTGCTGGCGCTGTGGGTTCAATTTCGGCTTTAATAGGAGTTAAGGAATTTTGCCGATGAAGCAGAATTTGATCTCGGATGATCGTGCTGAAGGGCAGCTTGGTCAGCAGCACAGCAGACGCTGCAGCGGGTTGACTGTAATCATGATGGACTGTATACCTTCCAGGCGTCCAGCATGTTGCGACAATCGCCAGTATGTATGCTCAGTGCTTCATTCAAATCTCCGTATACTGGAACTCTTGGGAAACTTATCATCGGTGAGTGCGCGAATACAATCCTCAGCACCCGGCTCTGATGTTAGGGCGACCAAGCCTTTTGTAAAGATCCAGATGTTGTACCACACACGTCAAGGAATATAGTATTTATGGACGAGCTGAAGTTACAATGCATGTCCTAATCACAGCTGCGACAACTCTTGGACCCTCTAAAGTGTCGCCAAAATGCACAGGGTATATCTGACCTGTACTCAATTACTCTTTCTACTACTGAATGCTTGTAAGTAGGATTCGTTTCCATAGAGGGCAAACCCTGGAGTGAGCATAATTTCTCCTTGTCTGACGTATCTCATACTGCCGTCTGTTCGCTCCAGAAATTCATTGGCAATGGGCCGAGGTGTGAACACAACTATGCGAACTTACGGCCATGACAATGAGGGTGGGCCAAGGAATACAGGGCTAAAATTTGTGGAGAGAGTATGTGATTCTCACAGAAGATTCTGAATGTGTCACTTCGTCTTCCGTGCAGTATATATTCTTGTTCATAGGAAGGGGCGTCAGGTCAAAGACAAGGATTAGTCTTCGAAGAAATGGACCATGAATCAAGAGACCTTAACGATGGGTCTCTTCGGTATGCTATAAAGGAAAGCGTGTACCTTTCACCACCAAGAAGTGCAGAGGAACTGGACATGGATCACACACCAGACCAGGTGCTTGGAATTTTCACAGGCCATGTCGTCTGAAATCGGCGAAGGAGGGCCTTTCTCTGCTAAAGAAGCGGAAGCACCGTGAGACGCTTGTCAGAATTATGTTAATTTTCCGTTGTATAGTTCTCACTCGCTGCATACCGCCGACTATAAGCGAAAATGTCAGGGTATGCACTAGCTTTTATGGAGATATCTTCATGACTGAAGGCTTCAAGAGCAGGGACACACTAACGGCCTTCTGCCCTTCGAGAGATACAAAACAGGACGTGCCTGATGCTAATCTACGAAATCCTTTCCTCGCATCTAACTTTTTGTGATAAAGGAAAGGAGCGATACTATCGACGGGGGAGGTCAGGGGCCTTGAACTGTTGGCTCTGCTTCGTTGTTTTCTGATTACAGCACTGGGCTCTGCCTCGTCAGATTTCCGAAATTGATGCCTACGTCACATTGGTATCACGTCCGCAGGCCAATGATGGCAAAGAAGCTTGCGAACATTGGCGGTAGCGAAGATCGTGGTGAAGTCCAAGATACCTTGTGGATGTGGAGCTGCCCGTCGCCGCTGATCTCTTTAAAGTAGCAAGGTGAATATCAGGCATGTTAATGCTGCCTCATCTATGCAGATGTCATGGATGTGCACGATATTTGTCATGTCGACACTCACACAAGCCTCCACACAAATTCGTGTTGTCATTCTAGCTACAAATGTGTTTCTCAGGATTTTTGAGATCTTGGTTTAGTCAGTAACATTGACTTGCTTCCAGTACTGGACACGAGACGTGCTTGATATGTTCGTGTATTCCTTTTCTACTGTGGAATGTCCAGTGTTGACTTGGAATTTCAGTTGTTTTTCGTTATATACTTTGTACAGCCTCAAGAAATCTATTGTCTGTAATCCTCCAAAGTTGCAACCTCGGCCCACCTTCAAGAAACTTCTCACTCTATATACCTCGCGAATGAAATTTATCCCCTTGCATTCAAGAAAGTTCCAATCATCGACATGTCAAATTGACCCTCCCTGCCTTCGTCCAAAGACCCATTATTCCAGCATCAGCACCCTCTATGAGAACTCTCTGGTGCTATCGTTTTCCGCATCGTATTCTTCTGGCCAAATTATAAAGTCTCGTCCTTGCAGTTGAGATGCCTGCAAATAAAGTCCCTCGGGATCTCGATCTGCCCCATAACGGTTAGTTTGACTGCACTTGCTTCTCGGCATACTCACAATGACTGGACTGGACCCAGGACTCATCATCATCGAGGGGACCAATGTCGAGTGTATGCAAATTGTGTTCATCTCTGCCGCCATTCGAATCGATTGCAGCATCACCCTCTGCCATCGAGCTCACAGGTTCGGGCTGCGATTTTTTTCTCCCTGTTGAAGTTCCGCCTTCGGTGGCTTCGTGATCACGATCCATAGTCGTATGCACAGGTGCGTGTTCATTTTTCCTCTTCCTAGCTTCAACATTGATGACTGCATTCTCAACAAACGCCGGGCGTCCATATACGCGTCGTGCACGCTCCGCGGATGTTTCTCTCCTGACTTCTCCCAGCTCGACGTAATTTTTGGGCACGTCTAAGAGAATGATGAGCTTTTGAACGCATCTCACAGAATTCAAGAGCACGTACCTTGTACCCAGCTAACGCCCCAGGCCAAATCCCTACACCAGCGTGCACAGGTTCTATGGTGCAATCCACTCATGCGTCAGATCTCTCGTCCTCCAATCCCTCTCATCCTTCGGCTCACCTCAATACACACAAGACGACTCCCATATTCTGTCGTGATGGGCGTGGTTTCGACGATGAAGGTAATGCTACCGAAGGAGGGCAAGAAAGTCGCACAAGCGACGGTTGATGCTTACAGCGGCAGTAGCGTTGACGTCATGAGCGAGGTGATAGGTTCAGGAGAGTGGGATACTGTTATTTTGTCGTAGAGATGGAGCAGGTAAAGTCACCGCAGAATGTGCCTAATTGATTAGATGACAGAAAAGGCAGCTGTGATAATATTTGATCGCTGGTCTTTACTGTGTAACAATCCTTTCCTATTTACTGCATACAGTATAATTTTTTTTTCAATTTAACACATTATGGTTTTAAGGAATCCAACCCGACAAACTAGGGCACCACAACATAACTTGAATACCGCCCGAAAATATCATGAGACACGCGTAACCGGCGGCAATTGAAGTCCAGGATGCCCCTTCTGAGATCGATCATAGCCATCGAGATGTGCCTAGAAATCATATCAAAGATTGTATATTGATGATATCCAGTACAGTCAGAGCTGAAGCAACGCCTTTGGTATATAGGAAGGTGCCATTTTCACCGCTACGTGTACTCCCTTCAGGACCAGCATCGTTGGATGGAGGATAGGCTTGGAATTATGGTTGTATTTCTTCGCCGTGATGGTGGGATGGATGAAATAA